CACACTCCTCTCCAGACTATAAAAAGACTACTTGTGCACACGCCCCTCTTTGCAGAAGTCAACACAGGAACTAATGTGGGAGAACATTATTGTGAGCTTGGCAGGCTGGGTTGCTGCCACGGCTTATCTGTGTTTATTGCTGCCCAAGCTTGTCTGTGCCAGTTTGCTGCCAAGGACCTGTCTGTCTGTTAATTAAATGACGTAACTTATCTTTGGCTCGGAGTGTGTTTGTGTGGGACAAGGGGGGGGGCACAACAGAGAACACTTTGCACTAGCGAAGCCTCGAGGTGACAAGATCACGTGTGTTTATCTCAAGGGCATCCTGATTCCAGCTTGTAATTGTCAAGAGCGCATTTATAAGACTGATCACAGTGGAGTGAAAGCAGATACTGTATATAGTTGGCTTGGTTCTCAAAGCATGCATGCTGAGACACATTCTTACTAACATTCAGTTATTAATTGCATCAAAATACCAGTCATTTCGCTGGAATTTATGTTCACGCTGCTCTGCTTAAGATTAATATCCTACAGCAAGAGGAGTGTAATTAAACTATTTTCTCTCTTTAATTATTGATAGCTAAGTTGTCTTAAACTATTTTTAAGTCAAATATATTTGTGCCAGCATGGGTTTTGCTGAGGATGATATATCATTAATTCAGGTTGTACAACCAAAACTCTAGCATAAGGGGGGGCGGGGGTGGCTTTTCTGTTAAAAAAAATGTGGCATGAAAATGTAGTTATATATTTCTGCAAGAATGACTTGCGTACTACTCTTAGATATTTGGCCAAGGCTCTACATCTTTATCTAGGATTAGCTCCATTGCATTTTACTGGATCGCTTTTCAACAGGCATAGTTTAGATTATATTTTTGGTTGAAATCCATACAGCGTCTTAGATGTAAACACACTGAGGTCTCACTGTGGGGAATATTTCTGAATAAATCTGTATAGGACATTTTGGTAAAAGAAAAAGAGAAAACGGTCAACCTTTATTTGCATATCCTGGGCTGACCTCAGTATGTTCTCATTTCAACCTTAGGCTAAACCACCAAAACATAAATATGTCTTCTTGATAAGCAATCCCTTTTGGGTAATAATAACAGTGCAAGAGCATAATGTATGCCTGGCTCAATTGGGTAAGAATGGAAGAATGGAAACTCCATCCTGGATGGATCTCCTAGAGCAGTGCTTCTCAATCTTTTTCTTCGCCCTTTGAATACTTTTGTGATCACGGACCATGGCCATGGACCCCCAAGACTTAACATTTAAATCATAACATTTCTTCAAACCTTCATGGACACCCTGTGAAAACATTGCAGCCCCCTCAGGGCTCTGCAGACCAGTGTCAGGCCTGCAATTATATTCCTTTTAGAATTTTGGCCTGCCACACTTTCTCTTATTTCATTNGGTGGGCCCTCCGGAGCACCATACCGGAATGATACCTAGTGCTCCGGGCAGGCTCCGGAATGCAGGTACCAGGCGTACTGCCTGCAACCCACCACTGATCCACATTCACACCAGCCAAAGTGGCTAACAGGTACCTGGTTGATCCCAGTGCCTAATTACCCACCTGGGACACCGACAAAATAGTTGTCAAAACACATCTAATCCTGCCTATTGTAAAACTGCCTGGGTTTGTTGCGACTCTTATGAAGATAAGCAATATTTAACGCTAGAACAACGAAAACTGAATTAACGCAATCTGAACTCTGGTTAGGAACAAGATAAAGGCAGCATCATGGAGAGACGGTTGAAAACAACTTTGCCAGAACATTTCTTTCCATAATTAAGATAGATGTAAGGACTAAGTCTGTGCCTTGAGGACTAAGGGGACTGCTCTGCCAAATTTTACTTGGCTCGCCTCTATTTCTCTGGTTAAAGGAAGAGCCTAGGATGGATCAAACGAAGAACCTGACTGGATGTACAGTAATTTAATTAGTGGCTGCTATCTGGAACTCAACATCTTTCTCCTGATTGCCAAATAGTAATGCTCGATCTGCTTTAGGTGAATGAAAGTCATAGCAGCACTGGTATTTTTGTCACTATTGGCATGATTCAGAATTTAATTCCCGCAGAAACCACTTCAAAAGGTTTTTTTTTAATAATCTGTTGACTCTATGAAGCATAGGAAGGAAGAATAGAAAAGTATTACTGTGTAAATCTGTATATTGTGTTCTTGTTTTGCAGGGGGAATTGGGATTTTCTTTTTTCAGGTAGATAGAGGCGGCAGGAGACAAAGTATTTTTCTGTAAATAAATCAATTGCAGTACTTTCAAGGGAGAAAATGGGATTTTTGTTAGTTCTGTTTTTCAGAAGGGGAGGCAAAAAGCTGGCAACAAGGCATCTGAGGAAGCATAATAATGTAAATAAATCAGTTTATGGCTTGGTGGCAACTAGCTAGGTGAAATGTTGATTTCATTTAACTTTCAATGGTGAATAAAGATCAGGCAATAGAGCAAAATACTACAATTTCACATATTCTATTGTTACTGTTTACTGTGTATGTTACCCAATTGCATGATCTGTGATTATTATTATTATCGCAACAACAGAATTGTATCACAGCGGCCAGTTGTTTCGCCGGATTTGGCATTGATTACTAGTCGGGCCCCGCCTAGGGGCCTAGGACATCGTAACATATTTTTGTAATATGCATATGGATCCAAGCAGTGCAGCTTTTTGCATTTGAGAGCAACTTTTGCCAAAAGCACCAAAACCTGG